TATCTCTTCTGGTTATCTTGCTTGCCTTGGGACAATTCATTTCCGCTTTGATGAATCAGTTTGGTTCTAGAGTCATTGCATTTTCAGTAAATCTTCCCTTCAGGCTTGGTTTCTGCTCATAATGCAGTTGTTCATTTCCTAATTCATACTTCTTATTAAGATTTGCAGTTTCTATTTTAAGGCCTTCAATCAATATTAAAAAGACTCAAAATACATTAGTACATTCACCCTCAACCTATATATGAAAAGCTCTAAAGAAAAATGAGAGCTTGTGTAAGATCTCTTGGACTAGTCACAGTTGTTACCGGTGATAGGAATATCACTGGAAATTCAAAATGTTTTAAGTATCAAATACATAATTCTGACAATTAGTGGATCTGTCTGACTGCAACATTATGTACGTGTTCATTGAAGCTAATTAATTTCTAGTAACTTTGTTTTGTAGCTTGATGACATTTTGTGCTGTCATCATTTTCGTGGTTAAGGATAGTTAAATTAATGATAATTTTGTGAAACATTTGTTGTATTTTACAGAGATTAATCCTGATTTTCAAGAAAAATAGAAATAATAGTGCCTTTGGATATAATAAATTTAGAATATATCTTAGTAGTACGGTAAACACATCATGAAAATCCACAGCAAGTCCTGACATTTTTTTCCCCATACATCATTTATGGAAAAGTAGCAGGCAGAACCCAGCTGTAATCCTTCGAGGAGCATGATTAAACACAGTAAAGTTTAGCTCTAAGTAAATATACATTCTATTTGGCTGTATCCTTTACACAAGATTGAATCTACTGCATGGAAATGATGTCTACATCAGAATTTAATGTTAGGAATAGTAACCCTTAGCAATGTAAATGAGATGAAATGCAGGAAAAGGGGGTCCACTGGGATATGCATCAAATTGTATTGCTTTCTGATGCCCATTTCCACTGCAGTAATTGCAAATGATTTTCAGGTTTTAAGAAATATAGTTTCATTAAACTATACTTAAGATTCAAATCCACTATGATTCTCAGCCATAGAAAGTCACTGTATGACACAGAGACAGTCACTTTCTGTCAGCCCAATTACCGCGACAGGTTCTTACTGGGGTAAAATAAAAGAATCTTCTCAGAACAGCCACACTGAGCTGGAAATTCAGGATACAAATAAATATATGAAAATAATTCTTAGAAACATATTAGCAAAATAATACTGCTCAAATTTTGTTTTTTTAAAGAGTGAATGAAGGCAGATATATGTGTCCCAGGATACTGTTGTAGGATCCTACCTAAATCAGTCATTGGGACCAAAGGTTCTTTTAAGAGCACACAACACTGTCAAACTCAATACTCTTAAGCTCAGTTTTGGCTTGTGAAAAATTAATTGGAACGCTTGATTTAATCTGCAAAAGGCCAGTTATTCCTGTTCCTGGAGTCCATTAATTCTTCTCCAATTAATATTGGTTCAATTTTTCCCCATCATTCATTTCTTGGGAAAGCTGTAAAACTCTAAAATAGTTCTAATTTTAAAAAAGCGATCATTTTTACATATTCTATCAACACTGGAGGGAAAAAAATTACTTGATCTCACCTATGACATGTTATCATCCCAAACCCTGTAAGTTAATTTTACTTATCTCCTTTTAAACTAGTATAGACAATTAAGTTTTTATCACCTGCTAAATGTAATCAGTAACTCCGTAACTCTAAATGTGTTGTGTACAATAATTTAGAATGTTATCTTAAGTTTGAACTGTACATTGTTATAAATAACTGCAATGTATTATTGTTGAACAATTATTTTATTGTATATCTATTGTGCTCATAGTGATAAGTATATAATAAAGCTACTACTATTTCTCATTGTGTTATCCCAGATTTTGACTGAACCAGTGAAGCAAATGTTATCAAGAACAGGGGTCCCAAACCTGTGGGCTCCGGCTCACTAGTGGGCCATAAAGGTATTGTAACCGGGCTACAGAAATGGCATCATTTGTGCAAGCAGCACCAGGTGAGCATGTGCATCCGTACTTGCTGGCCGCTCGCGTGGAAACATCCCCTGTCCCCCCCCGCTGGAAACATTGGGGAACTCTGTTCAAGAAGAGTTATCAGAAATATATTTTCACATTACAGGTTTGCATGACAAACTTGTAGAGTATATTGATTTAAAGCTTTTTGCAGATGAACCTATTAGCTTTTCTTTTTAGATTTAGCAGAATAAGATGAGACTTGATAAGCTTTTGATTTGTCATGGGTTCTTTAATTTGGACTTTCCAATTTAATCTTCATTTATACCACAGCTTAGTTGCTCACTTGCAATTAAAATTTCAAAGTGCTTAATGTATAATCTCCTTTAAACCGGTAGGCTAATAGGCAAATCCTGATGACCTATTTTCCATGGTTCATTGTTTCTTCTAAATATGCCCAATTCTTTGTATTGTCTGGTTTCTCTACTGCTGGTTTAAGTTTGTTTGTTTTATATAATCTATCAAAGATTAAGCTCCCCATTAAGCAAAGAGACATATCTAAAATAAGGTGTAGATTTTTTCATATTTGTTTGTTAGGGCAAAACTCACTGGCAGGCAAGGCAAGAAGTATATTAACAGACACAGAGAAACTCATGATTAGGTAAAGTTCTGTGAAATCAGCACAAGAGTGGAAGTGTTCAGTGAATTGTGAGTTATAGTAAATATATAACAAAGTAAAGTGTCTCATTGCTAGTCAAATTAATCTGTTAGTTCTTTTCTAGAACCTTTTTTTCAATTCGTGGAAGTATGGAAATTTCAATTAGTGAAATATTTAGTGATAATAAAAATATATATGTGACAAAGAGTTTTTAATCATCAAAGAAATATTTTAAAATAAAGTTTCTTAAAATAGTTTCTTAAAATAGGTCTATCAATATAATTATTCATCTCTCATGATGAGCTTATATAATCACATTCCATTCTTCACATGAGTTACTTCAAAATATATTACTTCAGATCCAACCAACTATGTGGAACAGTCTCCTATAGAGCTGTAATGCAACTTTCTATTGTATAAAATTAAGCTATATTATAGATTGGTGAATCACATTCTCTAACAAGTTCCATGACCCCTCATAGATCTAGACAATAAGAAACAGAGATAAAAAACATTTTAAGAGGAATACTTAATTCACATTCTATTTTCATCTTCTTTTAATGTAGCTTTTCCAGATATTTGAACTGCAGGGATTAGTCCAGGCAGTTGCTACGGTTAAGAGTCAAAACTGATTCAAAATCACCAAACTGACCAAACTCTTGCATGTGCTAAACAAAATGGCACTATATTTTATTTATTTTATCCAAGCAAACCTCAGGTAAGATAGGCAGTGTTAAGAAAGAAAGAAATCATATTCAAATGATTGAGTTTCAGGATGAATACTGATTATGTGCTATCAAGCCAATGTTGACTCTTCATGACACATAAGAGATTTTCTCCAAAATCCAAAAGAATAAAAATAAATCTGGAAATCAAGGACCAATAGTATCCATCCACATTATTTCTTTGTATTCTTTTTTAGTAGACAGGATAGAAAAAATTATCCTCAGCTTTCACTTCTTAAATATGTTTAATTAAATTCAAATATGATTCTACCAAGTTAGCAAAATAAATGCTAGTTTATTTCAGATAGTTAACAAGTGTTAAAGCCTGTTAGTTGTTTGGCCTTTACATAAATCATTTTATGAAGCTTTACATGTTCTTGAATTAAATTCCATTTCTTCACATGCATACCGATGACCAATTATGTTATATGGAGGGGCTTTTTTAAATTTCCAATTGTTTGTATTTAAGTCTTAATGCCACTTAATGAAGTCTCTCCCAAAATGTAACTCTCTGGATACTTGCAATTAAAATCCCAAAGTGCTTTGGCTCTGCTGGCTCAGGCTAATGGGAGTTATAGTACATCACAGCTGGAGAACGATCACCCAGTTTTCTAGCTTATTTATTTATTCATTTTGACACCATCATTAATTTGTCAGAAACCAATCCTAGTTTCATTTACCTAGGAAACTCACAGAGCACAGTAAGATTAATTTCTGAGCAAACCACCACTAATGATTTTGAAATGCGCAGTCTTGTGCAACAGACTAACCCAGCTTTCCAGATCTTTTTAAAAATCCGCCTAGACTTGTTTTAAGTTTGCAGGAGTGCCTAATATTTCGTGAAAGCATCTGGTAATAATTTCTTTCTACTCCGTTTTCCCCTTCCACGTGGAAAAGCCTCCCCCTTTCTCAAGTTTAAACGGATCTAGCAAGGTAATTAAGAAAACACAAGCTGAAAATGCAGAAGGAGCGACTGGAAAATCAGAAAATCGTCTCAAACCCTCGTGACCTCTTCCAGCAAGCAGGGATATATATATATATATAGATAGATAGATAGATAGATAGATAGATAGATAGATATAGATATAGATATAGAGATAGATACACACACACACACACACACACACACATATATATATATATATATATACACACACACACACACACACACACACATATATATATATAGATAGATAGATAGATAGATAGATAGATAGATAGATAGATAGATATATTTAAAATTCTATATATATATATATAGGCGGCGTGTGGTTTCTTTTCATTTCTAATATATATATTAGAAATGAAAAGAAACCACACGCCGCCCATGAGGACGAATGAATGAAGGCAACCCGGTCCGGCAGAGACGGAGGGGCATGGCGTGGGTCCGCGACATTGCTCGGATCTTCGCAGCACCGAGTGGGAGAACTTGATTAGCTTCGAGGTTCAGAAAACAGGAAGTGGGCGGAGCAAATGGTTATGACGTACCTGGGGGCTACCTCAGTTCAACAATTCGGCGGCGAGGGGAGGTTGGCCTTCTGGGCACGCGGCGGGTGTGCGCCAAAGGAGGCGGAGTCTGCTCCTGCCGCCGCCCGCCTTCGCTCTTGGTTTCTGGCCCTCCCCCTCCTTAAAGCGCGGCCCATCCTCCCACGAGCCGCAGTAGTGTCGGCGCTTCGGGTGTCAGGCAGCGCCATTGGGCGGAGAACCTGCGCGCTCGGGTTCCCTCCTTTCTTCCTGCCCACCTCGGCTGGCCCTGTGGCTGGAGGCGGCTGAGCTGGGGCTGCCAGCCCGTTTCTCTTGCTCGCCCCTCTGCTCCTAACCGAGTCATTAAGACTTAAGGGCGCCGTCGCCACCACCGCAGTCCCGAGATGTTTGACAAGACGCGGCTCCCTTATCTGGTGCTGGACGTGGTCTGCGTGGTCCTAGGTATGTCTCGGGTTTGGCAGCGTGGGGATCTGGGGAGGAAGGGGAGGCGCCTGGGCACCTCGGAGGAGATGCGCCACCGCTGCGCACTTGTCGGTTTGCCCACCCGACGCGCCCCCTATTGTGGCTGCCAGGGCTGCCCTGGCCGGCTCTTGAGTCAACTCCTCAGCTTCTGTTCCTGCCGTTACCCCCGGGAATCCATGAGGCATATGTACGTGTTTGGGTGAGGGCAGTAAATGGGTAGACCGTCTGAATGAATCGTGGGGTGGGATGGGGTGTGGAAGGTTGATCCCCCACACTCTTTTTATATGCCTACACGTACATATGCAGCGAATGTGTATCTGGGGTAGTTTGCTTTCCCCTGCATGGTGACAGGCTAATCATCTTTGCCTTGCATCTCTGGCCTTGCCGAAAAGCTTGGGGGGAGGGTTTGGAGAAGGGTTAATAAATGCAGCATTTTTTTCATTTTAGGTTTGTCTGCTTCTGCTGTTGTCGCTGCTTTCTTTGCGTGCATCTGCTCATCTCCTTGCTTACTGGCTAGCTTCGCATCAACCCCCCATCTCTCACCTAGATAAACTTGGTCACTGGAATTCTGCTTAAATCAGGGTTATTCAAGTTGGCTAATATAACAAATGGCTTGAATGAGTGGTGTACAGAGAAAGAGTTGGAAAAAAAAACCCCACCTTGATGTGCTGGTAGATGGAAAATCACAGCTACATTTTGTGCATGCTTCTTCAACCTGGTGCCCTCATCATCCGGTGAAGTCAGTTGCATTTGGTGGGTATCAGACAGGGGAAGATTGATGTACATTTAGTAAGCTGAGTTTTGAAAGAAAGCAGTTGATTTCCTCTCATATGAACATACTTTTGTGTAAAAGGATAAATAATTGATGAAGTTGCACATTGTTGTCCTACAATACACCTTTTAATGGATTTTTTTTATGGGTGACACTACAGCTACTCTTAGGGCTAGGATTACAATATATATATACTATATCACTATTTGCTGACAGTACTTTTTCATTTTTGCAGTATGAAGAATTATCATAATGTAATCAAAATGTGTACATATGTATTTAACAAAGTATAAGCTTAACCTTAAAAATATGTCTTGTCTAGCCTTAAATTTTGTTACTGCGAAGTATCTAGTTTTAGATTGACATTTTCCTGGGTGTAATATTGAACTACTAGCTTTGGTTGTTGCTAAATATTTATAAATGTTACTTTAGGTAAGGGCAGTGCAGTGATGGCAGTCCACTGTCCTCTGTTAGATTCATCTGATAGTTTTAGAAAGGCCTTGATGGAGATTTATTTCATTTATGCTAGTTCATATCCATTAAATAGGAGATAATTGATTTTGGACCAATAAAATATCTGCTTTAGACTAACTGAAAATTTACTTCTGTGGAAAGGATGGGAAAATCTCACACCATGTAAGTTTAGCAAAGAATGAATGTTTCTATGAAATCTATTGAAATATAGCATGACATTTTCAAATAGTAACGTTCTCAACCATTCTTTAATAGATAAATACTTTATAGGGTGATATGGTTAATCTTTAGATAATTGAATCAATTGACCATGTACACTTTGATAAATTATATGATCTAACTTGATGAGATAACAGTTCTGAATTAAGTATGTCCAAATAGTTAATATTGTGATCCAAATCTAAGACACAGGTATTGAATTTATCTCTACATTGCAAATTAGCCTTTTCAATTCTTAATCTTTGCTGATTAATGCTGATAGCTTGATATTGCCTTTCTTCAGCACATTGAAAATCATACAAGATGGGCAAAATTAAGATAATATTTCAAAGCTAAGTATGACTTTGGAAACACCTATAGTTCATGTTTCTGGAAGAGGCTCAGATGAGCATACTGAATAATATTGCAGGATTAGTTATGTAATGGCTCAGGAAAAAAAAACCCCAAAGCATCTTAAAAGCCTTTTCTGCCTTCCCATTTGAAAATTTTGGAAAGAAGAAAAACTTCCAGTGAAATATTTTATTTTGGAGAAATGGATGGAGGTAAGACAAGATAGTCTAAATTCCTTACTTTTCCAAAGTTTTTATTAGTTTGTAATAGGATGACATTTATGTAGTGTGTCAGAACACTGGGGCCGGTACACCAGAGGACAAGTACTTCTGTACTGTATAACTCTAAATGTTAGAGCAACATGCATGGCTGCTGCTAAGCAGCATGGCCCTTTCTGCCAAAGAAGGAAGAATTCAGTACATTATTTGCTTATGTGTGTGTATTGTTTATCTAGAGTCTAATGGATCTGCTCCTGACTGAGGTTCATTGCTTCCATTGTAGGAAAAAAACAAATATTTAAAAGTACATTATTAGTCAATTTAGTTATCTAATTAAATTATACTTTTACATTGTACAAATATGCCAAATCTGATAATTGTGTGAATGAACCAAATTAGTTTAGATGGGGATGAAGGATTCAAGCAAGACCAAGTGGCAGTGAGTTCTTGGAGCATGTAGTTCTTGGGATCATCTACCTCTGGTTTTGAATGGGGTTGTACTGGGACTCTGTGAAGTCTTGAATTTTCCTGGATTCTCATACCTGTTTGAAAGCAGGTGGCAGCTTGCAAACTTGTGCACCAGTTATATCCAGTATTGGCCTTGGAGACTCTTTGTATAGTCAGATATACCTTGGTCACCTTGTAGATATAATATTGAAATGTGCTGTACATGAGGCTCCCTTGAGGATCACTCAGAATGTGTACCTGATTGAAAATTCAAATGTGCAAACAGTGATGGGCATGCCTTTCTATGCCTATGTATCAGGCCTGTTCTGGTAGCTGCAGTGGTTACCAGTAAGCTTCCAGGTGTAATTCAAAAGTCTGATTATTACCTTTAAAATCTTAGAAGGCCTAGTTATCAGAGCTATCTATTTCCTGTGGGATCTGTCCATCCTGTTTGAAACAAGCCTCCTCTATTAGTTTCAACAATGTTATCTAACATAATGTAGAAAGCACTCCTCCTCTGGGACTATACTTGCCCTTTGAAATAGCATCACCCAGTTATTTGTAAGCCTACCATATTCTTCTTTAAACAAGATTTAAAAATTTGACTCTTCCTCCAAGCCTTGGGTCAGTGAAGGTCAGGCATGTCAAACTCATGATGTCACATGACATCGCATGACATATCGTGACTTTTCCCCCATTGCTGGCAATGGGGTGGGCGCGGTTTTAGTGTGACGCATCTGGCCCGCGGGCCGGCAGTTTGACATGCCTGGTGAAGGTTAAAGCCCTTTGAAGTTGAGGGATGGATGGAGTATTCTTTTTTATTTATTTCCTTTTTACGACTGTTTCCCAATATAAGACAGTTCTTTTTAATTGAGAAGCTACCCAGAGTCATTCTGGAGTTGGGCAACCTAGAACGTTCATGCATAAACAAAGATACTACATAAAATGTTCATAAAAGAGGAAAAATGAACTTAGAGCAATAAAGAGTAACACAAATATTGGATACATTTCAGATTTTCCCAAAATTTTGATTAACCTGCAACCTCCTTCCCCACCTGACAGGTATTTTCACCATGGCTTCAAAGTACCGGTATCTGGAAATTTTCTATCTCAGTAATGAAAGTTTCATAATTTATGATATATGAATTACAGAAATAATAGAGGGTTTTAAATGAGGTGTTCAGGATCATTGTGTGTTGAATATAATTTCTTTAGTTATAAATCACTTTATAAACTATGTCATCTTCTTGACAGGTTTTGCTGATCAGATAATTTGATCTAAGTTTTTGAGAAGAAAACATAAATCTTGACTAAGCATTTGGAGTCATAGTTCCTAAATGTAGAATCACATAACTTCAACTGCAGAAAGGGAATGGGAATAGGTAGATAGATAGATTAGATAGATAGATAGATTAGATAGATAGATGGATAGATAGATAGATAGATAGATAGATAGATAGATAGCTAGATAGATAGATAGATAGATAGATTTAAATATTAATTACAACATTTATAAATTAAAGTTACACCTCTTTTGGGCTTCTAGGTAAGCTTCAGAAAGGATAAGTTACATCTGTAATGCATCTAATGAGACACTTAAAGCAACAATCTTTTTCAATCTCAGATGGAAAAAAAAGTCATGCCTGCTTTAATGAAAAGCTGATGCAAAGTCTGAAGCAACTTGCAGATTTTTTTTGAAACACGTATAATCCCAAAGTATATCCCTTTTCATTGTTCTAAGTAATTTTCTTCCTAGTGGAGCTAATAGAGCAGTTCAAGTATTAGATTTTCATTTGGGTTTACTCTTATTTAATTCCAAAGCTGTGACTAATTTAAATTCAAAAGCAGTTCAGATTTGTTTGACCACTTCCTGTAATTCTAGTACCAAAAATAATGCTAGAGTAGAACTGAATCAGTATGGTTCTTAGTTGTAAAGTGATTAAAATAGTACACTTGGGACAAATCATAATTTATATACTGAAATATATAGATAATAAATGGTGATTCAGATTGAGAAAAGATTTAGGAAAAGAGGATTGGGAAGCAGCACTCCAAATTGTCTTCTGTGTGGATTCTGCTGTGAAGTTCTGTGGGGTTTAAGTGCATTAGTTCCATCTAGATTTCATACAAGATCATACAAGCTACCAATGCAGAATTTAATTAAGATTATGTCATGATTGATTTTCTTTCATGGCTATTGGAAAAATATTTAGCACTGAAATTACCATCCTGACAAACACATACTGTAAGAAAGCCAAAGTTTCTCAACCTCAGCAACATTAGATGTATGGATTTCAATTCACAGAATTGTGGGAGTCGAAGTCTCCACACGTTAATATTGCTGAAGTTGAGAAAAACTGGATTAGATGAAAATGCTGGAGTTCTTTTTTCTTTTTCAAGTCACTACTGAATGCTTTGATCCTATGACTTCTAATCTCTGATGTAATGCAGAACTGAGCATTGACATTTCTCTATGTTTGTAGATGAGTGATACAGTACCCCATTCCTCATTGACAGCA